TTATTATAATTAATAACGTGGTTATAAATCAAATAAACATGCTGACAGAATATAGCTTATTGTTATGACCCATTGTTTGTGACAAGCAACTACAACATTCTCATTCTCAATTGGAATTATGGTTGTATTGTTTATGTTAATATTTGTCTATTTGTTTTTGGTAAGCATTCATTTTGGAAATTTTGTGATTTCAAATATATTCCAATCATGTCATAAGTCTTTGTTGTTGTTTCTTAAGGATCCCCATACCACTGCCAAAAACTGTAACTACGCACTGGGAACTAATTTTTCCGGCATGAGTATACGTTTGATAAATCATTTATGAAAAGAAAACCATACCGGTGGGACTTGTTTGAAATATAATACATATGAAATAAGCAACAGCAATTAGTGGTCCTACAATGGGATTCGAACCGTGGACCTCAGATTGATACACTATCGCTCTAACCGACTGAGTTACCTGATCAATGGAATAGTCCTGACCCAACTGTGCAAAACGAAATTAACGGGAACTTACTGTATACAAATAACAGTGAAGTGACACAAGAATCCTTAATTTCATCAAGTAAGGAATTGATTTTTATTATATATGATATCAGCTAATTTGGAGCCTAATTAAACTTGATATTACCTATAAAATTGTGTTTATATGAATGTACAATTATGGTTCTGTATGGATTTTAACAATGATTACAAGGTTATAATCAATTATTGTAACAAAGAAAGTTCATTGATAAAAATTCGAAATATAAATAATAAAAAACAGGAATATTGAATTTATGTTTTAAAGTAATAAATACATTTTATCAATTAAATCAGAAAATTAAAAAGGCGTTCACTCAACAAGCTGTTTTTTCAACAGGAAGTGCTAAACGATCCTTCAGAAAATTATGAACGAACAATTTTTAATTTAATCCTGTTTTTTTAACTGACATTAGTATGTGTAATAGCTCTTATTGAAATTGCTGTAAATTTTGTTCCTATTCCAGTTAACAGATCAAAGTTCGACTTTATAAGTATCTTATTTTAACATGGCCAAGGTGAATACATGAAGTTATTCCAAAGAGATTTTTGAATTAAAAGACTTCCTCGTAATGGTGATGCAACATATAAGGAGATAAGAAACTCTTGGTCATATTCTTATTGAAAATATGTTAAAATATTTGGACGCTCGTTATTTTTGTTGTGTCTTCGTTTAATGTATATAAAACTCATTATTTGGAGAGTCGCACAAAAAAAAAAGATTTTTTATCATTATTGAATGATCTGGTATTATTATCATTGCTACAATGTAAAAAGCAAGACTTCTTAAGATTTGAATAAAGAGATATAAGAAATAATGTTTTTATAAACAAAATAAATAGAACATGTCTTGTCATATTTGAAAAAGTAAATAGATTGAGGCATTAAACAAAATCAAACAAAAAATAACAACGTACATTACAGCGTCTACATACAAGGACAAAATCGATACGCAAAATAAGTTTTAAAAGAGGAGACACAAAAAGGAAGTAAGGTTTACTGTATCATACTGCAAGTGTAATAAAGGTTATTGGCTGAGAAAGAAACAAGATTTTTTCTGAAATAATCTTATCACATAATCGGCCTGTTATACAGTGAATTCGCCCGTGTAATATTTTTACATATGTCACCAGTGTAATATACCCTGGAGCGTTTTTTCATTTCAGTCAGAAATTGATTGTGACGTCAAAATATGGACAATGACGTAACGTCATCAATTGTGAATGGCGCAACAAAATGGCTGTCTCCGTTTGATTAAGCCCTCTACATTTTGGCTTTAAAACCTGTCAAAATGTAAGTTTTCTGAGTTATGTGATAAATAGTATCTTCAGTTTGTTTTTATTTCATATGAGCTTTTATGAAACTCGTCTCGAAGTTTTTAATTAAAGCTCCTAAGACTCGTTTCTTGAAATCTCATATGAAATGAAAACTCATTTAAGATCATTTATTTATTAAATTTACCTAACTGTTACCTTATCTCTAACCAGCGTGAAAACATGTTACGATGTAGGTAGTTAATTATTACGTTTCTTTAAGTCAGTTTTATATCATTAATTGTACTATATAATGATCTTTTATTACAATGTTTATTAGTAAGTAATTACTGTATATAGTTATCATTAATTACAAAGTATATAAGTCAGTAATTACAATTTTCATAAGTCAGTAATTACAATGTATAACATTCAATATTTGCAATTACAACTAGTGTATGTTTCTCAGTAATAACAATTATACTGATCAGGAATTAATATTTACTATTCACTTATAGCAATGTATACTAGACAATGTTGTATTGTTTAAAGTAAATAATTTTGTAAATTAATAAGCATTTAAGTAGTTGTTTTCCCATGACAAACGATGCAAATAGGAATAAGTGACAATAAACATTCTGAAATTAGTACAAATACAAATACTGAAGTCGGATACTGCATCGATGTAGAATATATATTTTACGTAATAAATATATTCGAAGAATAGACATATATATGTTTGTAAAGATTAGAAAATGTGAAGCTCACAAATATTCCTGATACTGCAGTAGATGGGCGTCGATCACATACAGCGACGTGTGTGGTCATCGGAAGGAGCAATACATGGTCGTATAATAGGATTTACCGAAATGTCACGAGATATAATTATTATCGTACATTATACCTACACCCAACGAGTTTGCGTTAACGGCTAAGTATCACCGCAGAGGGGCGTAGTGACACAATAGCTGGCTAACGTATGTATATCGGGTCAATATGCTTCCATGGGGGATTATTAACATGAATTACACAAAAAGTGTAACATTGATATGACTTTCACGTAATTATTACAGCGGCTCACATTAGAGTCTTGTACAGGTTGGGTGTCATATAAAAGACTGAGGTATTTTAATAATTACAGATTGATTGTGCAGAGACATATTTCAATATGTACTGAAGGCGAGTAATATAGTGATTTCAATATATAAATATATGATAAATATTCAATGACAAAAGCGTTTCATTAACAAGGCAATATAAGCTAGAATTGAGTACCTCATGCAGAGAATAAATTTGACATACATGTACTTGTTTTATGTAAACTCATTTTTTACAATTTTAAAAATGTCATACGCCTTTGAAAAGAAGATTTTTCAAATTATGTTGCTTTCATTAGGTGTAATATTATGTGTGAATGTAGCACCTAATGTGGAGATAGAAAAAAAATCAATTTAAAGGACATAAATAACCGCAATAAAAATAAACGTTTAGCTTTATCTATATTCGTTTTGTTCTGAACACTTTTGTAATAAAATGAGTCATTTTATAAAGTTAGGTAAATCCTATACCACCGAGACGCTGTCACTCTTTCACATCAGGTCTGCTTGTACACAACTTACGAAAACTCCTCTCATAATAAAGGTATGCCATTTGAATTCATTTGAAATCATATGTATCGAACATAAAATCACTATACAGTGTAAGGATGAAAAGTGTCTTTGCAAACAGTTGTTTTCTTATGAAAGTCATGACATTGCGATGAGATTTTAAACGACAGGGTTCTCCATTAAACCATATGCTTTTATTATATATGACAAAGGGTCTCTTGCTGAATGCTATATTTTGGCCTGCAGTTATTTAGCTTTATTACATGATATTTCATTTAACATTGTTCACTTAACCCATTCACCCCCACATTTTCAAATGGACTTGACCAGTCTTGTATATGGTAAGGTTCAAATAGGGGTTAGGGGCGAATGAGTTAAACAAACAAATGTTCAGGGGTAACGGACGTTCTATCTGTTTAGAAGTCAGAAACTGTTAAGCTCGGCAATAGCTGCAATCGAATTCATTCCTGTATATCAATACATTAGGAAACGAACACTGGCAAGATATAATGTTCTCACCATAGAGTCAACTAATAGCCAACAACACTGTAACTGTGTTATCTGCAAATGTTAAAAACTAGTAGTATACTACATAAATCATGTTGAAGTACGGCAAAATGATAATGTTCCGAACATCATTAAATTCGTCTCAACCCTACATTTGAGACACTTCCAAAGTTAACTCTATATGTTTTGAAGCGAAAATGTTCCTCGTAAGTACAGACGCAGTAATCTGTATTTAAAGTGCAATACATAATCCTTAGGTTGTTGACTTCACGCTAAACATCGATTGTAACGCGGGGGGTTTTCACCGCTAGGTATACCATGATGTGATGTAAACGTACATGTGTTTCTTGGGTATGACATAAGAATGAATCTCTATGATAAGATCGTTTGTATACAACAAAGCAATGGTTTGTTATGATTTGTATGAGCAGTTAAAATGTGTACGAAATATGAGAGTTGAGGATGAGAGACATTGTAAAATCTCTTGTAAATAACCTATACATATCTGTTAGATCTCATAACAACACAAAGTTGTATATACACATGGACTGAAGAACCCTATATCATAATCTATATAAACAAAAGAATAAGCTATAAATAGCACATTTCTATGGATTATTATTATATCGTAACATCATCAGTATATGTAATGTTATATTTGGCGCAGAAATACTTTGTAGTCATGTCTTTAAGAGGGACTAAGGGGTACTATCGTTCAATAGCTATAAGTGACTGCAAAAGACAAAACACAAGCAGATACAGTGACAGATGAATAGAGTGAAATCACTGAGACAGTCATGATATTCTTATATTAGGAAAACACTTCATTACATACAATGTAAGAAGACGCGATGAGGTATGTATAATGATTGGTTATATGTCTACTCTATCGTATAAGGCGAATGGCTGTTGTGTCTTCTTGGCTTGCAATGGGACGGGATTGTGTCAACTTCTTTATTGTATTTTCTGTTATCATTTCTTTATTATGACCTCTGTATTATCTTTGTCACGTTTAGAACTGACACAGCATCTTCCGTGTGTATTAATAGACATGCTATTCCTGTATTACAGTAACACGGACCGTGCAGTGTGTGTGTGTGTGTGTGCTTACCTTGAGAGGCAGGTGTCAAAACCAGCAAAACCATAGCAGCAAACATCCTCAACATCATCCTCACGTTATTCTCTTCCATGTTCATTAACTACGTCATAGTCCAGCACGTGCATCCAGTACTACGTCAACGTAGATAAAAATCCACACATCCCCCTTAATCAGGTCGAATACACAACTGTCACCTCAAAGAGGATAACTGCAACAGATGAAATCCACACTTCACCTCAATACCTGATAATGAATCCACTCGTCACCTCAACTGTTGATACTGAGACAGGTAAAATCCACACGTCAACTAAAGACTAGGTAGCATCCACACGTCTTCCTGAAACCACCATATAATAACAAAGCAAGAGCCGGTTGTATAACATTTACATTTGCCTCTATTACATTTGATTTGGTTTCTCCATAAGTTGTTATTGAACTGTATAATAGATATGTGTGTTAGCCATCACTCGCGTGTCTTTAACATTTGTGTACTGTGGATGGACCAAGGCCTTAACAGACATTCACAAATATTGACAGTCGTTTTCTAACTCCACAAAACGCTTCACAATGCAATCACATTCTCCTGGATAGTGGTCTTGACCATATCCAAACACAATCAATCACTACAAAAGCAGCTTCACTTTAAATTCGCCAGGTCGCAATGATTGACACTAAATAAATCTATGATTTTTTAATTTCAAATATTCATACCATACCGTATCAATCACTTTAGGTGAAACCCCTATTTTATATTGCACTATGTAGGTTTATATTACACATACTAAATCTCGTAAGGTACCGATCCATATTTCCTGAGAACCCAGTGTAAACATGACACACATGCTTGGAACCTCTCCGCCCTGACCATTGAAACAGTAAGGTGGTTATAACCTATAATGGCCTACTCACACGTTCACTTCCTTATATGGAGTGCTCGTGTGGTCACTGCTTCTTGGCGTATTGTCCTTGTGATATAAACCTTGGACAAGTAAGTTCCTCGTGAAAGAGTTCCACAACGAGTTTTAAAATTATTCCGCCGTTCACATTCAATTCATACCTTAGCTTTTTATTAATATCGTTTTGAATCCAGTTGTGATTCTGTCAAACTATTTCCGAACGACTTTCATTTAAGATGTTACGTTGTAATGTCGTTTCTTAGTGAAGTCCGAACAGCTTCTTACACTGTAGCCTGTGCTGTAACTAACATTTCGGCTTGTTTCCTACGTCAATAATTCTCCTTTGAACAGTTAGGGTTGATAGTTCGTCCATTTGACTGTGTTATGATGTGAAAGTCCGCTAATGTTCTTCTGTCCTGATATGGTCGGTAAGGTTTGCACACATTTATTCTGTTTGGCCAGTAACGATGTATCGGCGGCTGTCGTCTGCTTGTAGTCTGGTGGTCGTCTGCTACCTAGCGCCATACAGGTGACTGTCCCGCTCCCTGCCGGCCCGGCCTGTCTCATATTGATACACACACCACGTGCGCTCATGGATCGATCGGTCGGCCAGTGTAATGTACGAGGGTACGAGAGCTCGGTCCGGCCCACATTTTTTAATATGCCATGTGTTGTCGACCTCTACGTAACGAGAATAATTATCACTGGCAATGTGTTATCGGGTATAACTACTGCATCGTGCTAACGAGCTAGTAATGTAGCCTATATTATAAATGTCAGAAAATGTATTGTGTGTGTATAATAGTATTTCATATGTACACTTATATTTCTTAAATTAATGAACTGATCAATACAATGAGGTTTGCATATATATCTACTATGTAACTTTCATTGTTATGGTTGCAATATTGATGGCGTGTTATAAGTACATGTTTTTTGATTTTAACAAGGTGTGTTATTGGATATATACTATTTTATTATTCTGAAAGCAATCTTGACAATAACATGCACCACTAGAACGTAACAAATTTCATAATTACAATGGGTATCCGTAACTTATGTCATATCGACACTATATATACGTAGTTAATGTTATATTTATAGTTATATGTTAGTATGGTCCTAATTAGTGGTATGCATACAATTTTATTACGTAACAAATGCCACTTTCAATTTATATATATATATATAAATATATCTGTGCTCTATGACAGATTTACAACATGTGTCAGTACTTTTAATCAAGTTTAATCTTGTGTGAGTCATTTGAAATTTGTATGTGTGCGATATCCTTAAATTTTACCATACCATTGTTGATGTATTATGTTCAGTATATTACATCGTCTGCTACATATTTATACTTACCTAAACATGGTATAGCCAATTATTAAACAAAAGCTGCAACTCATTCGTACATACCTAAAACTGTGAAGCCCATATTAAACAAACGCTGCTAAATATTCATCCATACCTAAACATGATATAGCCCATTTTTAGACAAACGCTGTGACATATTCATACATACCTAAACAAGGTACAGACAATTATTAGACAATAAGTGCTGCATATTTATACATACGTAACCATGGTACAGCCAATTATTAGACCATAGGTGCTTCATATTCATACATACGTAAACATGGTACCGCCAATTATTAGACAATAGGTGCTGCATATTTATACAAACGTAAACATGGTACAGCCAATTATTAGACAATAAGTGCTGAATATTTATACATACGTAAACATGGTACAGCCAATTATTAGACAATAGGTGCTGCATATTTATACATACGTAAACATGGAACAGCCAATTATTAGACAATAGGTGCTGCATATTTATACATACGTAAACATGGTAAATCCAATTATTACACAATGAGTGCTGCATATCTATACATACGTAAACATGGTACAGCCAATTATTAGACAATAAGTGCTGCATATTTATACATACGTAAACATGGTACAGCCAATTATTAGACAATAGGTGCTTCATATTCATACATACGTAAACATGGTACCGCCAATTATTAGACAATAGGTGCTGCATATTTATACATACGTAAACATGGTAAAGCCAATTATTACACAATAAGTGCTGCATATCTATACATACGTAAACATGGTACAGCCAATTATTAGACAATACGTGCTGCATATTTATACATACGTAAACATGATACAGCCAATTATTAGACAATAAGTGCTGCATGTTCATCCATATCTAAACATGTTATAGCCTATTATTAGACAAAAGCTGCAACCCATTCGTACATACCTGAATATGATAAAGCCCTTATTAAACAAAAGCTGTTACATATTCATACTTAAACATGGTTTAGCCAATTATTAGACGTATCGTGATATATATAAATAACTACCTGAACATGATACAGCCTATTATTTAAAAAAAAAATGCTAGATATTCCAACATACTTAAACATGGAAAAGATCATTATTAAATAATGTCTTCCTCAATATCAATACATATAGAAACATGATATTAATATCTTTTCAACATTTTTGATCTAATATTACTGAAAGTCACTTATATTCAGCGAGATAAACAATTTAGTCTTAATTCAAGGGGTTCCTCGATCGCAAATAAAAAATACCTTGCGAACATTCATTAAGTCAAAATTAATTAGTGGACATAATGCCGTTGTCGTGTTCCATTTACGATAATAAAAAAACTCGTGGAGAAAAGAGGAATTGGCTAAAATTGAAAGGTTGATAGTATGTCACGTGCTTTACAGTACATCACGTGAATAAGACTCATCACCTAGTGTACATCAATAAATGACCGATATGCTACGTTTAAGGAGGTCACTGACACCAAACTAGTGATAGTATGTAATTAAAGTGTAATAACAATGTACATATCCATGTAATGTAATCTAGTGTTTCTGATTTCATCGATATACAATGTGTTGCAAAGCGTTGCTTTTATGATTGTATAGTGAAAATATATACTGTGTCAACATGGTGTAGTTTGCTGACAAGACAATGACCGCAATAAATACCTTTCATCCATGTGATTGTTTATACTGCGACACCTGTGAAACCCGAACGAAATAAAACTTCGTCGGAATAGACAAGATGTTCGACTTCAATTTACATGAAATTTATACTTTGCAATTTGATCTATTGTTTTGCTGAAGTAAATGTGTATTAACAATGGCTATGTTTATACAAATAATAATGTATGTAAATATATATTATGTAAATATATCAACAGCAAATATTTAAAAACGTATCGACACCTTGATGAAGACACTGTATGTTAACAGTTTGGATAATAATGTATTTTTTCTGAATGTCTTGTTGTCCAAGTATTATTTTAACGTTGTTATGACGTTCATGTTACATTTCATTGATATGTATTTTATATTGAAGTGGGTAGTAGTGGCATTAAAACACATTTATCGACAGTTATGTTCCATTTTTTATAACATTTCAATGACAAATAATTGCAGTGTAATCACGTTTGTACTACATTCCAAAGCCAATTGTTTTACATTGTTCTATCGTAATTATGGTTATACATTGAAACGTAGTAGTTCGTATATTTTACTGACAAAAACCTGTGTACATGATAATAATAATAATAATTCGAGGTTCTTGTATACCGCTTTATCACAACCTAGTTCGTAGGTCGTCTCAAAGCGGTTCACAAACTATTATCCGTTGTTATAGGGCCTTTGCAACAAGCCAATATCTTTCTGGGAAGCATACAGCCGGTGCTGCCATTTCGGCGCTCACAGCTAGCATTCTACAATTCTAGCACTACCCAACTACGTACTCATTTACAGCTGAGTAGACTGGAACAGTATTTTGCTCAAAGACACAACACAGTGCCGTGCCGTGACTCGAACCCGCATTGAATGCAATATCGAAAAATGTTGGTAGTTAGCTAAGGGGATATTTACCGAAAAGATTTTCTGTTTTGGTCTAATATTTAAGTGGTGAAAGTACTGATATTGATCATTATTTTTCTCGTCACATTTTCATGGCGTGAAATTCGGCCAAACCAAAATGCAAAATAAATATGCAACAAAATTAGGAAGTATAGAGCCTAACTCGTCATAACATGCATATACTTTGTTTAAAACGTTCAAACAACAGATATATTATTGAATTTACAAAAAGCAGGCAAACTAGTAATAAAGCAATATGCCCTGTGTGCAGTATCAACAAACTACATATATATTAACACATTTATATTATGAGATGATTTCCTAAACGATACGGCAAATGTACTACTGATATTGTAGGTAAGCTATTATAATAAGCGAAACCATTCAAAGACTAATAGTTCAAATCCTAACAAAAACTGAAGACATTTATTCTATAATTAAGAGCAAATAGTTCACTACGTACACGCGTGAATAACATTAAAAAAGTAAAATACGAAAATTATCTTTCTTCTATCTTCTTTGGCCTCTTATTTGTCTATCTCTTACCAAATATCAAGATAATTTGATCGCAAAACTCAACTAAACATAATGAAGTTATTACATTCCGCAAATGGATAGTGTTTTTAATAAGGACACTTATAAGCAGGAAATATCCGGTATGTCTTCTATTTACAAAATGTTTCTTTGATTTACATGCCCTTTGGCCAGTGGTCAGTGAATGTGTGATGGTGAGTCTAGACAGCAGACACTTAAAAATATCAACAACTCAAGCAAATTCACTTCACTATCTGGGTATAAACAAATAACACATGATAGGTTACCGTGGCGATGGTTAGGTGTGTTGCCCACGTCTCAAAATGGTAAAACATCTGTGAATATGTCTTTTGTATTTACATCTTTCCACATAATATAGGACTAAATGGATTTTTGACAGCAGCAATGCACATCTGCGGAAGTCAATATCAGATGGAAATGTTCTCATGGTGCATCTTTGTCTGATAGTAGAGTGATCGATACTCACTCAGGAAGTGTTTCAAGAACCTTATATAGGAAATCTGTATATCCAAGAAGACCGCGATTTATGGACCATTTCTTTTTATTCATAAAAGTGACAAGCATGGCTTTGTAGGAATCACAATATCGAGTTTGTTTTATAAGAAAATACAATTGACTTAAAAATTGCAAGAAAAAATGCAGGAGAGCTTACCTTCGTGATAAACATTCTTAAAAAGATGGATGGATGGATCGATGAACGAATAAAAATGGATGGATTGACGGGTGGATGGATGCACGAATTAATGAATGAAAACGGATAGATTGATGGATGAATGAAAGAAAATGGTTGGACGGATGAATAAATGAATGAATGTGCAATATCTCATCTTAGAAACACATTTTGATAGTGGCCAAATACACGTAAAACTATACTCAACGGATATAACAAGAGATATTTATGATCAAAATTCATTCCTTTCATAACAACAGAAGTCAGTATTTTAACAGGAAATGTCCATATCCCTAAAAGCTCTTAATTGGGGACTATGCACTGTCACTGTCAAATCTGGTTTAAAGGATCAATGTAAACTATCACC